CTCCAATTTCTTCATCATCCCATGCCCACCCAGGACTGCTCTCTCTGGCGAGTTTGCTTTTCCCTGCTTCAGAATTTTTTAAGATTATAGTTTTGTTGCGCGATAGTGTTGATATTTCGTCACCCTTTTTGAGAACATCTCCATCATGATTTACAATTTCTTCCTCTTCCTCGATTTCGCCCTCCTCGACAGAAGAAGACGAACTTACCTCTCCGGTAACGACACCAACATTAGTATTCAGTGAAGGATCTTCTATTTCTCTATCTTCACTCTTGATTTCAATTTCATTCTTGATCTTTTTATCATCCTTTACCTCTTCACTATTTTCGGTCATAGTCATTTTCTTTACTTGTTGACTTTCATCAATCGTTTCGATGTTGATATTATTAAATTCGTTATCCGGACCTTCTAGATTAGGCTTAGAATTATTCACTGCGTCAGCATTCATTATTATTACGTCTTCATCTTCAACGTCTTCGAACCAATTCTCTAACATCTTCGCTAATGTCACCTCATCACCAACACCATCTAATGCATCAAGTATTTCTAGTAATAGTTCATATTCTTGGCATGACTTTTCATAAAGAGATATTTTTCCTTGTGTATGTGTTGTTAGATGATGGGATATAGCGTCATAAGCAGTAGTTATACGGTGTTGTGCATAAGTCACAAGTGGATTGGAAGATGTGGATAGATTTATATCATCAGTCGGGGCGAAGAACGATGTGGTGAAAGAAGTCAGCATAGATTCATCAAATTCGGTAGAATGTTGGAAGCTTATTGAATTTTCAGAAAACATAAACTGTTTAAAATTAAGATAAATTAATTATCACAATGAATTATAATTTCTTGAAAGATCATACCCGTCCTCGTTAAGTGTTTCATGTAAATACTCAGAACCTTGGCCTGGGATGATCCTGAATGGTGTCGGTATCACGCTAGCAGTTATATTTACAGTTGGTGTTTTTGCCTATTGACAAAAAAGACATAAAACAAAAAAGATTTACTTTAATTGTAAAATTACGCGATAGAAACAGGTTAGTACCTTTTTCGACGCGTTCTTATTATTTTCTGTATCAATTCCTTTTCTTTTCCTTGTTGTAGTTTCTTCCACGAAGTCCATAGCTGGTGATCCATATAATGTTCGTCTCGAATTAACATCTGAAATATCAGTGGTACTTGCTCTCCTTATCCGCGATTTTTTATTTGATGTTCCCTGGTTATTGTGATTATTCCAAACCGAGAATAGTTCACCTACATCATCATCGTCTCTTTCGTCCAATACCACGGAATCGTTACTAGTTGTTACACCATTGATCCCCAAACCACTAAACTCTGTTGGTAACACATCCGCTAATCCTTTTAAAATGTTCATTTCAACGATATCACCTTTAACGTCACGATGTAAATTTTGAAAATGATTTAATACTTCAGCTAAAGTTGGTGCAGAAAAAAACGCTTGAGCTGATGTGCTTTCAATATTCATTATAATTGTAGGATTGACTGAATCAACAGTTGTAGATGCCCTTTGAACAACAAGTCCGATAAGATCTTGAAACAATGCACATGATTCTCGTGCGATCAATGGTGTAATCTCCTTTACGTCGTATTCTGATTATGAAATGATGGCAGATGATTTGGTATTAAATTTTATTGACTTTTGTTGTATATCTTAAAATAGTATATTAATTTTAGAATATACCAGTGTGTTGCTTGAGGTAGTTGGCTACAATAACTTTCAACATAGCTGACTGCAAAGTATGAAAATAAGCTGAAGCTATACGTGGTGGATCACAACGTGTTAAAACGTCGAGCCCGGGGGCCTAGAAATGAGCGCACCAAAAAATTTAAAAATAACTAACTTTTCATAAGTTTTATCGCTTAATATATGCAAAAAATAAAAAAAAAGAACCTACTGCAAACCATCCTAGTACAGTTTGACCTTTCCAGTTCATCAACTTTGCGATCGTGCTGACGAGGTCCCGAGAATTTGACTCATATGAAAAAAATCCCTAAAACCAAGATGAAAAGGTGTAGGCGAAAGAATGAGAAAATAAATAAATAAATTTATGCACATTAAGTGTTTGACTAACCTTAACATGAATTATTAGTCTACGATCTGGACATTCTTCACGTTGACCAAACAAGATGCCTTGAACGGGAGTACCGTCGATGGCAGGCCTAAGCCTTATGAATACATCTATAAAATAGAAGAAAAAGAAAGATCTGATTACCCACAACGAAGTTCATATGAGTAATGTCTATTACTAAAATGATTTTTACTTGCCTTTAGGAATCTGGATCGTAGCAGGCATACTTCGTTGTTTTTTCAAAACTCCTCAAATTCATTATCACTGATTGATATTTATATACGGTATTATAAAAAAAAATAAATACTAAATCAAGTATGGTTAAAAAACTAATTTTTGGGGGGAA